TAAGCTGCCACATAACTCTCTTTTACACCGACACTATGCCACATGTCACTACCATAGAAAATATTGGACTGATTTTCCCGCCCATTCATTGTTTCAATTGTCAATTACTCAACTCCTAAAATTAAGCAAATTAGTTTTAATATTCAATTAAAATGCATTCAAAATACGTTCTTTATAATGTAAACACAACTATCAACTTAAATAGAGATATGAAACCCCTTAAAACCAGCAGAATCACCCAACTTCATCTATTAATTGGTTCATTTTTTTATCATGGCTTGTATCCCTAGATTTTACCTTCTCGAATTTGGAAACAAAATCACCTAACTCTATATTTTCATTGGTTCAACCTCTCAACTCCATTATTCACGATCAAATGTTCAATCTTTCTCTCCTCATGAACCCTAATCCATCCTCTACGTCGATCCACTCATTCTTTTTAGGAATTCTCAACAAATTAAAGGTTCATTGGTATGTTCATCTTCTTCACCTATACAACTAAACGTTTGTCGAAGAAAGAAGTGAAATTAGAGCTTTTCGAATATGGAGGTATTTGTTTTTTTCTATTTCAGGGTTGCATTTAATTTTGTGTATATGTAATTTTGAGGGTATTTCAAGTTCATTACCAAAAAAACTTATATATGTTCTTTTTGGTATTGTTGAAGGATAATGAAGAAGTTGAATGCCGATAAGAGATCGACAAAGAATGACAACCCTGCATCCTCACTATTTAGAGATCAGTGGTTGCTCCGAAGTGGCTTCCATTTACAGAGCTAAAAGGCGGAGTCGCCTCAGTTACACCACAACTCTCCTACACAAATCTTGTAAGTTTCGTTTAGAATCAATTGTATGGTACTATTATGGTTTTTTGTATTCTTGAAACAAAAATTTCTTAGAGGAATCCAAGCTTAGAAGCAATTAGGCCTAAAGATCTTCTCAATATATATATGTTTATGGTTGTTATATATATAAATATGTGGAAACGTTTTTCAAGTATAGCAAAAACATTGTAAATAATAATAAATTTGTTCACTTATCTTATTTTTCAAGAAAAATAGTTATCATCCTTTCCCATATTGTTTTATTAATAGGAGAGTTATTATCTTTTGGGTATTTAGGTTTCAATTTTGGAAGAAGTTTGTTCTATGAGATGGTTAAGTTTTTCATGGTTAACTACGGGGAAGACCCATGCGTGACTACTTTTTTTATTATCCAACTAGAGGTGTAAAACTAAAATATTAGAAGAAAATGGGGTACTGGTTACTTCATCAAAGCTCATTTCGATCCCAATGTTCTCTGTGGACAGATATATAGCATCCTATTTTCTTATATAGCATCCTATTTTCTTTCATTTATCTATGTTTTATTGCATTCTACATTCTACTTATGTTTCTTTCTCTTTCACTAATTGTCTATAAACACTTTCTATAGCTTATGTTTTTTGTTTACAATAACTTTCCAGAGAAGTAGATCATATATTGAAGATAATGATCAGAAACGAGAAGATGTGGTACATAGTCGGCTTCCTTTAAATGTCATTTTCAATTTTTGTTCATTTTTGTGCTTTCTTTTTATTATTTTTGAATTAATTGTGTGTTGTTTGTTGAAGAAGTAAATAAGTAAAATGGTATTTCTCACTGTTTTGGATTTAGTCTACAATTACTTAATGTGTGTTGTTTGTTATTGTTATAAATTATTTAATGATAATCATATGTTTATTAAACATGCTTTCAAATTTAAAGTTATAGTTTTTACAAACAATATCGAATAATAAAATGCATGTTAGTGTAGAGGAGGTATTATGTTTGTATAAATGAACAAATTAACAATCATAATTTTCATGAATTGAAAAGTATTAAAATTGAAAATTTAGAACAAAAAAGATAATTAATTTTCTCCTTATTATCATCTGCCAAATATATCTTGTACTTAATTTTGCAAAAAAGATTATCAACCAAATAAATATTCTTTACAGATATAATATACACATGTGCTATTTGTTTTCAAATAGTGATACGAAAGAAGGATAGAACCTACTCTTTGTAAAAATATTTTTTTTTAGACTTATTATTAGGTTGATGTATTATCAACATATTATTGGAATTTTCTCACTTTATAATCCCTCTATTAAATATTCACTTTTAGAAAGTTTTAATTTAGAGCTTGATAAGAGAATCAGATAAAGTCACAGTTACATTTTTTTTTGTTGTTAATTTGGCTGATTACAGGAAATTATGACATGATGACATACCAACTTAGTTTCATTTTTTGGTTACTGGTGTTTTTTATTATTTATCATATTTAATCTCGACTATTATTTGTGTTTTCTGAATAAACAGTTTTTTCAAATTTCTACCAACTTCCTATTAACCATTATGCATCGATTGCCTTCAAGGTTCTAAAAAGCTCGTCATGGCTCCAAGGCTAGTACTGCCAAGCTTTGACAAATTGTCGTCTTAAGTCATATATGTATATAAAAATGAATATAGTTAAAAATACATATAACATTATCAATTATATACAAAATTGCTGCCTTAAGTGACGCCTTACAAACGATGTGGCTAGCCAAGGCTCGAAAAAACTTGAGGGTATACATTGCCGCCAAGTCACGCCTTACATTATTTAGAACTTTGATTTCCTTCATTGCTTTTATAGAATAAATAAAATATCAAAATTAAAATGTTTCATGTTCCTACGTTGCTCCCAATTATATAATAATGTACTCTCTAAGTACAATGTTATAATTGGCATCACTTCATTTTTAACAGGGCTATCATTTTATATTTTTTTCAAACATTTATTTGAAACAAACCAGTAACACGACCATTTAATCTAAAAATCTTATTTTTTGATAAATAATGTTATTTCAAGGACTTATTCTATAAAATTTTTAGGGTATGCATGTTAATGACGTTTATGTATGTAATAATTGTAAGAAAATATACATAGGTACCATTTCTATGCAATTTGTTTAAATAAGGGACCTTTTTGTAATTCTTTACAAGGATCATTCATATAATTTCATATCTAAGGGTCCATTTCAGTAGTTTTATTTAACTTTTAACCTGTATAACATTACAAAATAATACAGCTCTATAACATTACAAAATTATTACATGTTTAACCTGATAGCAAAATACATATATTTGAAAAACAAGATATAAAATTTCAGAGTTCAAAGTAGAAAATGATTAAAATTGTTAATTTTAAACTAACAAATAAAATATCTAATATTGTGTATAAAGTAACTTTTAGAAATTTATAAAAACTTTGTACAATTTTATTATTTATATTAATTTTTGTTTCTGTTTTATTTAAATTTATATTGCATTTTAGAAAATGATAATTTTCTAACATATCTACAAATATAAATTATCAGATCGGATATTCAAAGTAATTTCAACTAATCATTATATCATCATGATTACTAACATTACATCTATATTTATTACTTATAAATTTTTTATTATCATTGTAAGTTATCTTTTAGATAAGACAAAACTTCAAAAATAGTCCCTGTGGTTTCCGAAAATATGAAGTTTAGTCCCTAATCTTTAAAAACCTCATAGATTGTCCATGTGGTTTCAAAACTTTTAACAAATGGTCCTTTTCGCTAACTCCGTTAGCTTTTTGCCGTTAAGTTAAGGGCATTTCTGTCATTTCACAATCACAGGGACCATTTATGAAGTTTTGTCTTATTTTTAAAAAAAAATATAATTATTTAATATTAAAGGTCTCTCTCTCTCTCTCTCTCTCTCTCTCTCTCTCTCTCTCTCTCTCTCTCTCTCTCTCTCTCTCTCTCTCTCCTTATAATCACTGTTCTAAACCAACTTCCACAGCTTGCAGTTTTTGGGCTTTTTGCCTCCATCTTGCCATTAACAATTGTGTTATTAGTTACAACAGTGAAAGATGCTTATGAAGACCGGAGACGACACAGATCTGACGGGATTGAAAACAATCGTTTATCATCTGTTCTAGTGAACAATCCATACGAACAGAAGAAATGGAAAGACATTCAAGTAGGAGAAATCATCAAATTTTCTGCAAACTAAACAATTCCATGTGATATCGTTGTGAAAAAACCAACAGAAATATATACGGTTTCTTAGCCAACATGGAGATCGATCAAAAACGCGTCTAACTTGGCCCTTCCAACATCGTTCTTCGTGGATGTGTCCTCAAGAACACGAACTTGGCAGTAGGAGTTGTGGTGTACACAGGAATGGAAACCAAAGTCATGCTCAACAATTCAGGCGCCCAATCGAAACGAAGCCATCTTGAAGCTAGCATGAATAGAGAAATCATATTTTTATCGATTTTTCTTGTTGTTTTATGCTCAGTTGTTTCAATTTGTGCTAGAGTTTGGTTGAGACGCCATAGAGACGAGCTTGATATCATGCCCTTTTATAGAAGAAAAGATTATTCAGATGGAGATGTTGATAATTAAAAGTCTTATGGTTGGGGATGGAGATATTCTTCACGTGAAGGTGATGTGGAGGAACATTTGGAGGTGGATAGGAGTCGATGATATGAATTAGGGCAGATTAACAAATTTGGGGTTTTTATATAAGGGTAGTGGGTAATGCTTTTGATTTCTTCCATGAATTGTAGTTCTGGAAATACACACATTTGCTTTCAATGGGTAACTCTGTGTGTGTGTGTGTGTGAGAGAGAGAGACCTTTAATATTAAATAATTATATTTTTTTTTCTTTTTAAAAAGAAAATAAGACAACTTCATAAATGGTCCCTATGATTGTGAAATGACAGAAATGCCTCAACTTAACGACAAAAAGCTAACGGAGTTAGCAAAAAGGACCATTTGTTAAAAGTTTTGAAACCACAAGGACCATCTGTGAGGTTTTTAAAGATTAGGGACTAAACATTAGACATTCAGAAACCACAGGGACCATTTTTGAAGTTTTGTCGTTAAATAAAGTTATTTTTGACTTCCTCGTGTATTTATAACCTAGTTGAAAATATTACTCTTAGTTCTAAATTGAGATCACGTGTTTGAATTTATTTACGATCGCAGAGGCTTCTCCCCCATTGCGACCTGCCTTCTTCCCAATCGCAGCCTCTTAATACTTACGTGCAGCCTCATATTCCCCCGTATGTTCTGGTTGACGTCTTATACACACACATCTGACGCACACACTCTTCATTCAAGTGCGGGTGCGACGCCAGCTCGTCAGCCTCAGTCTAATCTAAGGTATGCGACTCTTCTCCGTTTCATAGCATTGATTGAGGGGTAAATCAATTTTGCTTTTTGGAAGTGCTCATCTGAAAGTGATATACCTATTGCTTTTGAAAAGGATTTGTCAAAGAAATCTAGAACAATAGTTAACAAGGACAAAAGAAGATCTAATCGATTTCTTATATCCTGATCACGTGTTTTTCCCTTAAACTTTATTTCTGTTAAGTTGTATTATAGGTTCAAACTTCTATTCTAAAAATAATGTTAACTTGATTTCTTTTAAATTGTATTACCAGTTCAAAGTTCAAGGGACAACAACAGTTAATATCACATCAGGGTCTCAATTTCATCATAAAATGTGGATTATGCGTGCAGGATGTGATTAATGGAGACCTGTGTGAACAATTTCCGACATTGCCCTTGGATATTTAGGGGAAAGTTGCTGATGAATTGGATAGGACTCCATGAGAAATTTTGAAGAAACTAGAAGAAGTTAGAAATCAGATTGTTTAAATGCTCATGATTTTAGCAGTTTTTAATGCATGCAAATGATGTTATATGAGTGCCAAAAGCATAGGAATTTAAATTTACTCAATTGTTTTTGGAAAAGACTTTAATTTTTATTTTGGCAGCCTTTTATCCATTAGACGTTTATGGAATTTACTCAATTATTTGTGAATCCCTATTACTTTAGTTGTGTCTTGGGTACTTAAGTTGTTAAGAACCAAGGTTAAAGATTTGGCTTTGTATTTATATATTCCACTTTTTTAAACCTTTCAAATAATAAATACTGATTATTTATCTACCTCTGGAATGCTCATATCTGCTTGATTGTGTCTTGTACAAATGGGTGGAAAGTGTCAACAAAGTTTAATATGGAATTGTGTAACAAGTTAGTAAAACCATGATTCAAATTTAAATCTATCATAATATTAGGAATTACATTTAAAGAGGATGATAATTCCATGAATGTTAGTAAAATATACATTTTTATATGCTGAAAACATATGGTTGATGTTTGATTTATAAAGTGTAGGTTAGATGGAAAATAGTAAAATGTATTAGATTTATTAAATCAAGTCTTTTTGAGGAAAATAGTAAAATCCCAGGGGCTAAATAAAACATTGGCCAATGTGTTTGACTTGAAGCTCTTTTCAAAATTCAAGTAGGAAATCATTAAAGTTCTCTTGGTTGTGTTTCATGGTACAAACATTCTTCAGAAACCTTTTATTAAGAACTGGTTTGCAAATAACTTTTGAATGCTTTTGATTTATTGATCATTCTTGCTTTTGACTTGAGGGTGCAAGTTGAGCATATTAATGTTAAAATGAGTGAACTTGGGTTATATTATATGCTATGGTTAAATGAAATTTCCATTTCCCCTTCTTTTGAAGACATGTTCAAATTTTTTCATGTTTTGTGTTTTTTTGCATTGTTTTCCTTTGGGATTATGTGATTACTGTTTTCATCGTGTGATTGTTTATGATTAATGAAATTTGCATTTTTGATGTTGTAATGTTGCAAGTCACATTAAAAAGTGAAGACTCAACTTTGCATACAATTGCATACTACTGAATGGTTTGTGTATTTTAATATTCGGTTGTTTCATGGTTATGATTTTTTAAACTATGGTGATATAATTTATCTAATTTAGCTATTGAATACTACTTGATGGTTTGTATACTACATGATATCATAATCCAAAAACACTACATGATCACCCTTCCCTTCCTCTTTGGATACAACTGTAGATGAATTTAAGATGTAGTCTTGAGCAGCTTCCATGCATGAAGTAGTCTAATTTATCCTTTTAGGTTCATAACAATGTCATGAAGTTCATCATAGGACTCATTATCCCAATTTCTCTTACTCATTGCTTTTTTTTTCTTATTACACTTCACCCCTCCCCTTCTTCTTATTCGATTCAAACCACCACCAAGTCATCCTTATATTATATACTCAGACCTTTTCTGGAACTTCGTTTAAACACTGTTAATTGAATGAACTTTTAACATTTATCACTGAAAGACAAAAGCAAAGAAATTATTTTTGGAAGGAGATGCAACAAATGTTTTTATTTTCTTAAAATGTGGAAAAAGATATAATCTTTGTCAAATTTGCTTATATGTATGTTTTGGTAGATATATGCATGGGGTGAGACCAATAATAATGATAGATTATGGTGGAAAGATGTCTCTGATGTTAGTTCCATGGTTCATTTTCCAATTCCTTTTTTACATCAAATCAATACAAATGATATGAGATAATGAAAGGGGATCAATCGGAGCACAAGTTATATCACTCAAGAAGCTAATTTCATCAGTCTTTTCTACCAATGAAATAACAAAAATAATGTTTCCGAATGTAGTAGAGATTCAGCAACTAATGTTGAATCCTCTCTTTATCTGGCTTCCTATTACTCATCAGCCTTATGACTTCATCCATCTGAGTCATTTGATGCAAGATACGTTTGTCATTGCCCCGACTCTAAATGGGAAATTCCTCTACTTTCAACATTTGTCTTGATATAAATATTAGAAATTTAGAATTATAATTAACAGTTATACTTACCATGAGAATGACCTAACTACCCTTGGTTAACTACTTTATTACAGACCTGCACTTACTTCCTAACCCTTAAGTACCACAAGGATTATATTTAACAGTTATACTTACAATGAGAATGACCTAAATATGAGAATGACCTAACTACCCTTGGTTAACTACTTTATTATAGTCCTACACTTACTTCCTAACCCTTAAGTACCACAAGGATACCACAATAGCATATTCTGTTACAATATTATCAAATATAAAAATCCATTCTTGATAAATCTTTAAATGATACTCCTTAGAATTAATTTTTATCGTCAAAAAAAAAAATTTATACTATATATATATATATATATTATTACCATTACATATTACTATTGAGTATTGATATTATGTTAGAAATGGTTTTGCATTTTTTTTTTAATATAAATCAATTTTAAGGTGAGGAGTTGAGATGGAAAAAAAAGGGCAGATAGGTAAAAGGTGGGTGTCTTAACTCGTTAAGCCAAGTTTTTTGGCCTAACCCACTAATTCATTGGATCTAGATTGTATGAAAAGGCTACAATCATGTACAGTTATACAAATTAAGTACTTAACCAACTTAGCTCATTAAGTCAACCGAAACAACCATGTTCCATTTTTTCTTCCATTTCCTCAAGTAATGGTAAAAATATGCAGCTACTTACCATGCACCATCCTACAAAATGTCCATTGAAGCTTGATCAGTTCTACTTGCACACATCATCATGGTTTTTTTACTTATACTTAGATAGGGGTTTCTTCATAGTTTAGAGAAAAGAGAAATCTTGGTTAGACTAAATTGAGATTGACAGCAATAGACTCTTCTGGCGATCGCATTGTGGCTAGAAAGGAGTCATTACTGAGATGGAGATCTACTTAGGAGCAAGTTCCTATCGGAAATTAAGCTATACTTAATTATTAGTATTTATTAAAGTTAATTTTGGTATGAGTAGGTAGCAGTTATAAATAAGTTGTCGGTTATACAAGTTAAAGAAGGAACTGTTGCTTTGAAAGGGTGTAACGGTTCTTTTCTGTTGTGTGTGTATATGTATATGTATATGTATATGTATCTTTGCACTTTGAACATGTTGTTGAATCATTAATAAAAATACTTGTAATTAACCCAAACCCCCCCCCCCCCCCTATGTATATACAAAACAAACTAGACTCCTGAAACATTTAAAAAGAAAGAATTCCAAAAATCCCCCTGAGACTAATTTTGTCCCTGATTTCTGGATTATTCCAACAACATGAGTGCTATTCAGATAGCTCGAAACTACAAGTGAACTAACCATATCATATCGAGATTGACTGTTGTTAAGATGTTAAGAGTTAGTTACAGTTACAGTTACAGTTACAGTTACAGTTACAGGTTCTGTTAGCTAGTAATAGTTAGTCAGTGGACTTTATTATTGACTCCCTTAGTCTTTCTCTGTATATACAGATAATGTTTTGTAACCATTCATTCATAATAATGAAAACACACTTCACATTTCTCTCTTTTATTTTCTCAATCGCCTTAATTGTCATTACATGTGGCTTGCAAGACCGTTCATCTTCATTATATCTCTAACTTGGACTGCTTTTAAACATTAGACTCCAAACTACATTTGGTTCATCCCTCACCAAGTCACCATCTTAATTTTGAGGAGGGTGTTGGCATATGTATATAGTAGGTTAATATTATAATGTAGCAGGGCCTAATTGTATTTTCTATTCTTTACTAGGGATACATTATGTTTCTTTTGTTATTCCATTTGGGATTGAATCATGAGACTCAACAGGTTACTATTCTGTTATAATATTATCAAATATAAAATTCCATTCTTGATAAATCTTTAACTTATGCTCCTTAAAATTGATTTTAATCATCAACATAAAAAAAAAACAAGTTTCATTCTACATATGTATTATTACCATTACATATTACTATTGCTAATAGAATATAAAAATTTATGTTATAGATGATTTTTCATATTATTTTCTTTTAATATATCAATTTTAAGGTGAAGAGTTGGATGAAAAAAAAGGGGGCAAATAGATTAAAGGTTGGTGTCTTTACTTTAAGCCACGTTTTTTGGCCTAACCCACTAAGTCATTGGATCCAGAGATTAAATGAAAAACTACAATCAAGTACAGTTGTACAAATTAAGTACTTAACTCACTTAGCTCATTAAGTCCACCAAAACAACCATGTTCCATTTTTTTCTTCCATTTCCTCAAGTAATGGTAAAAATGTGTATATATGCAACTACTTACCATGCACCATCCTACAAAATGTCCATTGAAGCTTGATCAGTTCTACTTGCACTCATCATCAGACTTCACAATTTTCAAACTTCTAAGCTTACCATCCAGCTTAATCCAAACTATTCCTTTATTACTAGCCTTCTCTCCATGCATATATTTGGCCCGAACCCCCAAATCCATTACCTGCAATGCAATAAACAAATAAAAAAAAAGTAAGATACATAATTACATATCAATATAAAAAATAATGGTAGGATCTAAAATTATTATCCATACCTTCTTTTTAATCTTAGGAAAGTCATGGCTCCTACCCCCTTCTCTACAGACGACTTTAAGCTTGTGAATCACTTCAAAATAACAAAGGTTGTTTAACCAATATATATATATATATATATATATATATATATATATATATATATATATACTTCCAAATGTTTGTTCATGTAACAAGCTAAGAACTCTCATCTTGAGCGCGAAATCATAATTGAGATCATGTGGACTTATATATGATTGGGTCATTTCCTCCCTCTCTTTTTTTAAATTCCTACACACCATCAATAAACTTTATTAATGACCCCTCATCTTAATGTATGGTTGTTCTGTTAAATATTAAACTAGAATTAATATTAATATTTATTAGGGTTAAATGTTAGTAATTAATTCTGAATAGTGGTCTCTCAATGGGTGCAATAAAAAAAACAGAAAGTAGTTCCTCTATCCTCAGCAGAGACGGAGTACATTGCTCTTTCAAATTATTTGATCTTTATATGCTTCCTTCTACCTTGAAAGACTGGGTTCTTAGTGAGAGCAATTGCTGACCTGTTATCACACATGATCATTGTTGAGGCGAACTGTTCCATCTTAAGCCTTTTAGAATACTTCTTAACTACCTTCTGTTTTTTTATTGCACTCATTGAGAGACCACTATTCATAATTAATTACTAACATTTAACCCTAATAAATATTAATATTAATTCTGGTTTAATATTTAACGGAACAACCGTACATTAAGATGAGAGATCATTAATAAAGTTTATTGATGGTATGCGGGAATTTGAAAAAAGAGAGGGAGGAAATGACCCAATCATTTATAAATCCACATGATCTCAATTCTGATTTCGGGCTCAAGATGACAGTTCTTAGCTTGTTACATACACAAACATTTGGAAGTATATGTTGCATAATTTTATATATATGCGTGTATATATATATATATATATATATATATATATATATAGATTGAACAACCTTTGTTATTTTGAAGTGATTCACAAGCTTAACGTCTTCTCTGAAGAAGGGGGTAGGAGCCATGGCGTTGCTAAGATTAAAAAGAAGGTATGGATAATAATTTTAGATCCTACCAATATTTTTTATATTGATATGTAATTATGTATCTTGCTTTTTTTTATTTGTTTATTGCAGGTAACAGATTTGGGGGTTCGGGCCAAATATATGCATGGAGAGAACGCTAGTAATAAAGGAATAGTTTGGATTAAGTTGGATGCTAAGCTTAGAAGTTTGAAAATTGTGAAGTCTGATGATGAGTGCAAGTAGAACTGATCAAGCTTCAATAGACATTTTGTATGATGGTGCATGGTAAGTAGTTGCGTATATACATTTTTACCATTACTTGAGGAAATGGAAGAAAAAAATTGAACATGGTTGTTTTGGTTGACTTAATGAGCTAAGTGGGTTAAGTACTTAATTTGTACAACTGTACTTGATTGTAGTTTTTCATTTAATCTGGATCCAATGACTTAGTGGGTTAGGCCAAAAAAAAAGGTGGCTTAACAAGTCAAGACACCAACCTTTTACCTATTTGCCCTTCTTTTTTCATCCCAACTCCTCACCTTAAAATTGATATATATTCAAAGAAATAAATATGGAAAATCATCTATAACATAAATTTTTATATCCTATTAACAATAGTAATATGTAATGGTAATAATACATATGTAGTATGAAACATGTTTTTTTATGTTGATGATTAAAATCAATTTTAAGGAGCATAAGTTAAAGATTTATCAAGAATGGAATTTTATATTTGATAATATTATAGTAGAATATTAACCTAATATATACATATGGGATAACATTCTTGTTGAGTCTCATGATTCAATCCCAAATGGGATAACAAAAGAAACATAATGTACCCCTAGCAAAGAATAGAAAATACAATTAGGCCCTGCTACATTATAATATTAACCTACTATATACATATGTCAACACCCTCCTCAAACTTAAGATGGTGACTTGGTGAGGGATGAACCAAATGTAGTTTGGAGTCTAATGTTTGAAAAAAGTCCAAATTAGAGATATACTGAAGGCTTTACAAGTTCCCAAACTTTGATAGATTGAAGAAAGAATTAGGCATGTCTAGTGTCTAGCTTATAGGGGGTGTGTTAAAAGTTGTAAAATAATTGTGTTGTATCAGACAGATATATCAATAAGATTGTGTTTATTATTAATGCCTACTTACCTCAAACGAAAGGCCTCCAGTGAGCCTTTCTTTTTGATGATCTTAGCTTTTTTCTGCAAAAAAATAATAATGATTAATGAATAGTTAAAATATCATGGATTTGAATATTTCTAATGCTTAAGAAAAGTTATACCTTCAAAAGTAATTCCTCTTCAAATCTTGATCTGCCAAGGGCATCCTGTAAAATGCAATCATAGAAAAAGTATAAAAATAAAAATTATTAAATACTAAGAAAACCTACAATCTACTAAATGTGTTACATTTGCGTTGTCTTCAAGGTTTGATTGCATGACATGTTTCTTGTTTTCAGCCTTTTGGAGCCTTCGTATTCTTCTAAAGCATCCTATTATACCATCAAGGTGAGCTGAAATCGCTGCGTCTTTAGCCTGTGTTTTCTTTTTTGTTTTCTGTCATTAGTTAGGGTTTGGGGTCGCCGCAGGAGGCAGGAGGGGAGGGTTTCTGTGTACTTCGTTTCGTTCTATCTATCGATCGAGTGTTCCCGCTCAGTGATAATACGATACGCTTATTATTATTTTAAGTTTTATAAACATAGGTTATAATATTAGCCTCTTATAAAAAACAAGAAGTAGGTTATAATATTAGCGTCTTATAAACATAGGTTATAATATTAGTGTCTTATTATTTTAAGTTTTATAAACATAGGTTATTATTTTAAGTTTTATAAACATAGGTTATAATATTAGCGTCTTATAAACATAGATTATATTTTGATTTTAAGTCATTATGTTAAAAGATTATACTGTATTATTGAAATCGGGTTTGCATAAATTTCATCTTTGGTCCCTAACGTTTTTTTTTATACTTAGAGTGTCCCTATAATTTTTTTTTTGTTACAATTTTCATCCCTTACCAGCATAAAAAAATTGTTATACCCTTTCTAAAGCCACGATCTAAAATCCATCACCCCATCTTCTCTAACCTCAAACCTAAAACTACCGATCTCCACCTCAACTGCCCCGTCAGAGAGGAAGGAGTCCTTCCCTCCCAACCCACTGAACCCACTGCCACATTAGCTTTTTTACTTTCTCTTTCTTCTATCTTTCCCAACCCACACCATATGGAAACCCTATCTTTTTGAACTCATTCAACCCACTTTCCATATCATTCTTTTTTATTTTTTCATTTTTTTTTTTTTGCTAATTTAAAAAAAAATCTAAAAAAATATTAAAAATAACATTTAATATTCTTTTTCATTTAATTAAATTAGAAAATATAAATTAAAATAAAACATAACATTCTTTTGATTTTTTTTTTTTTTGCTAATTTAAAAAAAAGTTCTGAAATAATATTTAAAATAACATTTAATTAAAAAACCATACTACAAATAAAAAAACACGATAATTAAAAAAAATACACTTAAAAAAAGACAACATAATTTAAATCCTAAAACGTCAATTGAAATTAACTAGTTATTATCTAGAGTTTGAATGTAGACATGTTCAATGTCATCAGTAAGATCAGATCGAAGTTGGTGGTGGGTTTCAGCATTGCGCAATTCGTGTATTATTTTTTGGTCATCAACTTCGTCGGTGGGGGGATCGGGCTGATACACAGGAGATATCGCAGCACCCTCATCTTTCAATATCATATTGTGTAGTATAATATAAGCGTACATTATATTTTTTGTTTTCTTCACCGCTGTAGCTCGTGCAGGCATCTTTAATATGTCCCAACGTCCTTTAAGGACCCCAAAAGCACGTTCTACATCCTTTCTTGCTGATTCTTGTGCCGCCTTGAATCGTATCTTTTTGTCGGTAACTGGATATGGATATGCCTTCACAAATACAGCCCATGATGGATATATTCCATCCGCAAGATAGTAACCATGTTTGTAGTGTTCACCATTCAGATAAAATGAACAATCGGGTCCTGTTCCATGATATTTCTCATCAAACAATGGTGATTGGTAGAGGACGTTTAAATCATTGTTAGACCCGGTTAATAAGTTCATCCTCAGATGATGAACTATCATCGTTAACTTCCATTACTATTTTCCGAATGTTTGGATTCATTTTGACAAAAAAGAAAAGATAGAGAGAAAAATGAAACAAACATACATATATAGATAATGAAACAAGCATAACTATATATAGATAATGAAACAAGGATACATATAGAGAATCTTAATAAAAAAGAAAAATAAAAATAAAAATAAAAAACATAATAATAAAGAGAAAGATTCTCCAGTCATATGATGTCGACATTTTGAACTTCACGGGTTCTCCAACTCCCAACCATACTTAGTTGCAATTTGTCGTTTCCTTTCAAGCACCGTGCGCAAAATACCTCCAGTCAAATGATCATGCGGCCGGAGAAAATACTCCATATCTTGGTTCTCTATCTCCCGATCCAATAATTGAGCTTTTCGTTCTTCATTAGCTTCGAGAATGTGTAATTTTTGTTCCCGATATCGTTGTCTCTGTTCCGCCTCTGTGTTGGTTGCAGTCTTGATGCCGGCAATTTGTTTGACGAGATCAAACATTTCATTTTCTGTTGATGATGTCGATGTCGCTTTCTTTCCTTTTCTTTTTCTCTGGGGCGGTGAGTCTTCAACACTAAACGACTGTTGTTGTTAGGGAGAGAATCCAGGAGGATATTGTGGATCAGATGATGATGTGTAGGCGTTGGATGAAGATGTTTTGGTTCGTTTCGAAGAAGGAGGTGGGGAATCTTCACCCACTTTTGCAACAAATGCCCATTTCGCGTTGTCTTTCAACCACTCCCAAGCTTGTTGATGAGGAAAACCTTTCTGGTTAATAGTCCCCCGATACTCACTTAGTGAAGATTGTAAAACATCAACCTCAGATCTCCCGCTAGCCACACTGTTCATCTTACGGTTATAGATGTCGTTGAAAGCATTACATTTCTTTTGGAGGTCTTTCCATTTTGAGTTTACTTGGTGTCGTGACCGATCCGAACCTCCCATTTGAACATTAAAATGCGCTAGAACCCTCTCCCAAAATGCATCGAACCTTTGTTGATTTCCGCGTTGTTTATCTTTAGAAACATCGATATATGCCCTAGCCAAAGCCAACTCTTCGCATTCCACTCATCTCTTTCGCTTCTGGCGGTGTGTATAGTTGCGTTTTTTCTCAGCAACGGGTTGCAACTCCTCGCTGGTTTCTTCTTCGTTTCTTTCGGGAGTCAGGGCGTCACTAGAACTTTCAGATTCTTCATTCTGAGCATCACGAAACTGGAAATTCTCGGGTTGAGAAGATTGGAATTGGGTTTCTGGAACCCTTTGAGAAAACTGATTCCATGGATTATAACTCTGATTTTCCTCTGGAAGCCTAAATGTGTTGTGAGATTGTTGCACCGGGAAATATTGTTGTTGGTAGTTTTGGTTTTGTTGGTAGTTTTGGTAGTTTTGGTATTGCTGATAGTTTGGATTTTGAAAATCTTGAGAAAAAAATGGAATATCTTGACTTGAACCGCATTGTGTGGATTTACATTTTTGGCTAGAACCGGTTTGTTAGATTTACCTCGGGAATCCATTGAATGTAACTAAAGGAATCGAATGAAATATAAAATTTTCTAGAGTAAAAACACCACAAATAAATGAAATATGTATTATGTATTTATAAACTTCTAAAACAAAATAAATAAATAAAAAGAATTCGTGACTATGGTCAAATGGAAAGTGTATATAGTCAAAGTGATAGTGACCTTTAATTGAATTGAAGTAATAGTGCATGGAATCTCTTTTGCTTCTGAAAAAGTATTTTGCATTTATTCACAAGAAAACAAATTAATAGTCCTCATATTTTAGCGGGTTCACCAACCCACTTTAACACAATTAAACCTTGGAACCCGCTCAACCCAAATGGAAGGAATTGTTTCCCGGCGGTACCGCCGGTACCGGCACCCGAACCCACAACGACTCCGTCTTCCCTCAGAGTCACCTAAAAATTGCAACTCTAAAGTTATCGTCGTCCAATGTTTTCAATCTCCTTTAATCTCTGTTGTACTACTACGCCTCCTCACGACGCCTATTAGAAGCTCTACCCAATTGCACGTCGGTTTGGGCAACAATTTCCGGTAGGGGATTCAATTTTGTTAGCACCACTGATGCCATCAATCTTCTTCTATTTTCTTCCTTTGAAATAAACCCACCACGATAAACCTTGATGCAAATTTTGATTTAGGGTTTGTATTTTTTCTAATTAGATATTGGCAACGGAAAACATTTATGTATTTATCTCTTTTTTTATTTTTCAATCAGTTCGCCCATGAGTAGATTTAGAGTGTTAATTGATGGCAATGGTGGTGGAGGTTCGCTTTTTTTTTTGTTCGATTTCCTTTTGATTTGGTGTTGTGATTGGTTGTGGTTAGTAGAGGTTAATTGTGGTGGTTGTTGGAGATTATAAGGAGAGGTACATGGAGGTGCTCTAGGAGGTGAATGAGGTTACATATGGTGGATGAATGGAGGTTGACGAAGGTGGAGGGGAAAGGAGAAGGCGAGTTTGTGTGGGGTAGTTGGACCCACTTATTTGTAAACTATTTTTTTAATCTTTTTAATTAATAAATAATACATAAATTATAAAAAAATTTCCAAAATAACCCAAGTTTTTTGCAATACTATTATTAAACATACTTAAGCTGGGAAAAATATAAAAATGGATTTCTAAACAGTTTAACCCGATTTTATTATTTTTGTGCATTTAATCTAATAAAAATGAAGATAAACAGAAAACAGTTTCCAAAATTACCCAAACTTTTTGTAATACTGTAATTAAACAAGAAGTTGGGAAAAATATAAAAGTTATCATTCAATCAGTTTGGCTATTTTTATTTGTTATATTCACTTAAATAGACATTAATTCGTGAATAATTATTAAACAGAGGGTAAAATTCACTAAACTTTTTATTTACGATCAATATGTAATATAAGATATTTTGATGAAGTTTCATAATTTTTTGGATAAGTGTAGCTATTTTCCATCAATTTAATCTCTTAGCAAGTCATTAAATCGGGAAAAATACTAAATTGTCATGGAAAAATCTGTAAGCTTTTGCATGGGTTCTTTATGATGTCCAGAAGATGCGAAAATTATCAAATATGGTTTTGGACATTCATAACGATATTTTACTATTTATTTATCTTTAACAAAAAGAATTTCGCAATCAACACAAAACAGCCCTATAAGTTCATGCAACTTCATACAATGTCTTTAATCAGTGTATAGGTCATCTCCAAATTTTCTCAGAATTTATTGGCTGTAAAAAGTATTTTATTTGAATTTTTTGCTCTATTTTATTGAAATAATTATATTAATTCGAGAATAATAAATTATTTTCTGAAAATTTCCAAAACTTCTCATTTTGTTGGTAAGATTCTAGGAAAAATCAGATTAATGTTAAATATGAGTTTTAGATAGTTTGGTGGATTTAAATCACTGCATGCATGAGTTTGAACATTTTATCAACATACTTTGATCATCAAGCATCTTAGGCTTGAAGATCTACACATGCATGTTGGTTAAGGCCATGCACGAGTTTGAAAAGTTTAAAAATCGTTTTTGAAGGAAAACATGGGTTAATATTATGATTTCTCCACCAAAACTTGTATAAAAGTGGTTTATTTCGATTTTGACATAGGTTTGGATCATGGGATTCCACCATTTGCAACATGCATGTTGCTTTTGTGTATAAAATCTACCACCATCATCATCAAAAGCGTGGGAATGGTATGTGGTTCAAAATATTTTCATAAAATGGAGTATAAGTAAAAAGAAATGCATAAAATGGTGAAATTATGAGTAGAAATGAAGGGATAATGCTTGTTTTCGTGATTACCTTAAGAAGAACACTTAAAGAAGATGATTTTTGATGTGGAAATGGCTTCTTGGCTGCTGATTTTCGTGAGTTAGAGAGGGGTTTGAGAGAAAAGGTGTGGTGGAAGTGATAGAAAATGAGAGAGAGTGAGAAAGAAGTTGTAGTGCAAGAGAGGTAAAAATGTTTAGGGGTATTGGGAAGGGGAATGTTGCCTTGGGAGAGGGGAGGCTGAGTTTTTGAGGGCCTTAGAGGGTCTCCCTCTCATTTTATTCTTTTAGATAAAATCCCTTTAATTTTTTTATAAGTGTAGCACCCGATTCCTGGTATGCATTTTATTCAAGTATATTTCTTATTTTGGCCTGGGACTCGGCGAGTTGATGGCCCAACTCGTCGAGTAGAAGCGGGTTGGACCCGGGATATAAGTGGCGGACTCGTTGAGTCGGCGGCCAGACTCGACGAGTAGACTCTGACTGGACCAAAAACCTAATCTAAGGGTTTGCACCCTATTTAAGCATCTCATTCAGCCACCCTTCGCCCCTATTGCTTCCAGAACCCTCCATATCAAACCCTAACTGTGTGTGTGAAGATCTAGAGGCTTTTGAGTGATCTTGGTGCTTTGTGGTGACAAGAAGGAAGGGAAAACCAAGAGGGATCAAGAGGAGACCAGAGGAGTCGAGCTTGTGCATCATCTACAGTTCTTGGAAGGTATTAAGTCGACACCTTGCTCCTTCTTGCATTAGATCCCTTTTTGGGGAGATTTAGGGCTTTTATAAGCCATTCTTGATGACCAACCATGATTGCAAGCATGGTTGGGGGTTAAGGCTTCAGATCCGGGCTCATTAAGGGGTTAGAAGGCAGAAAGGGACTGCCTATGCACCCATGGTAAGCCCCATGCAACTTAAGAGCTTCTTTTAGGGTCTTTTGAGTTCATAGTCCCATGCATGCACGTAAAGTTCGTAACTTGACGTGTTAGATTGATCTTAGGAGCCTAGATCTATCATTTGGACAAGAGTTGTACACCAGAAATCGGGAAATGAGACTTGGACATTATCGACTCGGTGAGTCATTCATGGGACTCGGCGAGTCCAAGGTTTGATGTCCCCAAATCTGTGAGGGTTAAGGGGACCCAGTTGAGTGTTAGAAGGGTTTAGAGGGTGCAAAGGAGTGACCCAACGTATTGGACTTAGCCATTGACCTGGAGTTCATAAGGACTCGACGAGTGCATGAGCAAACTCGGCGGGTCCAAGGCAATCTCCCAACAATTGAGGATGAACTCGACGAGTTGTTCATACAACTCGGCGAGTCGAGGACAGAACTTGTTCATCAGATGAAGGTGCACTCGACGAATTGTTCATACAACTCGGCGAGTCGGATGAAGGATCATTCGATGTTCACATAGAAGGAGAACTCGACGAGTCATTGCTAAACTCGACGAGTTGAGACACGGATAAGGACAGTTGAAAGGTGGGGACTCGACGAGTTGGCGGCCCAACTCGGCGAGTCAGGTCAACTGGAAGTTGACTTTGACTTTGACCAGGGGTAAAATAGTCATTTTACCCTAAGAGTAGATATCAGATTCTGCCTGAGTGTTTTGTGGGGACTATAGCCGGAGGGTTTCCGGAGCAGTAGCAGGCAGAGATTTCCCACGCAGATTATCAGCAGCTACTCATACGATGTGAGTTACCTTCCAGTAGCGGTGGGTCTACGGCCACAATGCCGGCCCACCAGTAGGAGTTGTATGTTAGATGATTGTCTTTGTGATATCATCTAGGTTTGCTACTACCTGATATGTTATATGCTGGCATGATATGTTATATGTGATAGTAGTAGAGTTCGGTTGTTAGGACCGAAGGGTAGGTCAGGCACCCCAGATATGTCTGACAGTATGTGATGATATGTTTATATGCTGGCATGATATGTTATATGTGATAGTGGTAGTAGGAGGGGAATAGTCCCCAAGTTCGGTTGTTAGGACCGAAGGGTAGTTCGGACACCCCAGATATGTCTGATAGTATGTTTATGTTATGATATATGTGATAGTAGCAGTAGGGGTGGAATAGTCCCCGATGGTCGGTTGTTAGGACCGACGGGTAGGTCAGCACCCCAGAATGGCTTGACATGGGTAGGACGGCACCCCAGAATGGCCGCATGGGTAGGACGGCACCCCAGAATGGCCGCATGGGTAGGTCGGCACCCCAAAATGGTCGTACCGGGTAGGTTGGGCACCCCAGAATTACCCGGTAGTACGTATGCTATGTGATTGTATGGTATGTGGTACGATGGGGGAACTCACTAAGCTTCGTGCTTACAGTTTACGGTTTTGTTTCAGGTACCTCTTCAGCGAAGGGGAAGGAGCTGGCGCGGTAGCGGCACATCATACACACAAACATTGGTTTTCTGCACTATGAGTTATTCTGGGATTGTACTCTGACATGTTACTGCTTTATGATTTGGGTCTTTCCGACATGATACATTGTTTTATGATATGAAATGATTCCGCAGTATTTCCTTATGAATGTTTTTATAAAATCAACTAATTAAAACAAAATTTTTGGCCGGTATTTTTGGGATGTTACAATATGTTTTCCATATTTTTATAAACTATGCATTAGCCTAGTTTTCTTTTCATAGATCTTGACATTTAACTTGTAGATTAGGGTTAAATGTTGATAATTAATTATTTTTCTTTTCTTGATTATGTTTCCTAATTTTAGTTACTT